AAACTCAAACCCATATCCTGACATCACAGCAGCCGGAGTGGTTGGGGGGTACAGGCTGGGAGTAGGGTGGCAGTGTGTGCGTGTGTGTGTGTTTGCAGGGGGGGCAGGATTAGCTGGATTAGGGCTCTCTCAGCCAAACCCCCTGTAGTGACATGGAAGTCCCTAGAAGCAGGTCACCTCACTTGCCCCGATCCCCCCACTCCTGTACTCACCAACGCCCCATACACTCCAGCTTATAGTCTGCAGCCTTACATCATACCTGTCTATCTGTCTCTCTTCCTCTCTCTGTCTGTCTATCTGTCTCTCTTCCTATCTTTCTGTCTGTCTATCTGTCTCTCTTCCTTTCTCTGTCTGTCTATCTGTCTCTCTTCCTCTCTTTCTGTCTGTCTATCTGTCTCTCTTCCTTCTTCTGTCTGTCTATCTGTCTCTCTTCCTCTCTCTCTGTCTGTCTATCTGTCTCTCTTCCTCTCTCTCTGTCTGTCTATCTGTCTCTCTTCCTCTCTCTCTGTCTGTCTATCTGTCTCTCTTCCTCTCTCTCTGTCTGTCTATCTGTCTGTCTACCTGTCTATCTGTCTATCTCACTCTTTTTTCTCTTTCTTTTTCCACATGTTTCTCAGCCCACAGACTTCCACCTGATGCTGCTGTCAATCAACCAGGAAGTATTTGATCCTTACAGGACACGTGTCAAGAGTCCAACTGTCCCATCAACATTCCCCTCATACCCAGTCCAACCTCACCTCACCCTCCAGTCTATCCTCATACCCAGTTCTACCTCACCTCACCTCACCCACCAGCCTTCCCTCAAACCTAGTTCCACCTCAACCTCCAGCCTTCCCTCATACCCAGTCCAACCTCACCTCACCTCACCTCACCCTCCAGCCTTCGCTCATACCCAGTCCAACCTCACCTCACCTCCTGAGATCAAGTGTTTTTGGAGGAAAGCGTTTCGCACATCTCTAGCTATGACACATTCAGTTACCTAAAAGTGTAATTTGAAATGATGTGTTTCCCTTTCATTCTAAGAGAAAATGGCTACTATGGTAAAGTTTTCCACATCTGCTTAGAGAAGCAGCATTGCTGTACAGGCCAAGGTACCAATATGAGCTGAGAGCTGAGACTCTATCTGACCTGCACCTCCCTCTCTCCTCCAGCTTTCAGAGGGAAACAGAGGAGGGTGGGTGCGTGTGAGGTGAGTGATGCAGAGGGGAGAGAGTGGGAGAAAGAGGGGGAGAGAGATAAAGCTACCAACACATAGCGAGAGAGACAGAGACAGAGAGAGAGAGAGAGAGAGAGAGAGAGAGAGAGAGAGAGAGAGAGAGACAGAGACAGAGACAGATACAGACAGAGACAGAGACAGAGACAGAGACAGAGACAGAGAGAGAGAGAGAGCGAGAGAGAGAGAGAGAGAGAGAGAGAGAGAGCGAGAGGGAGAGAGAGAGGGAGAGAGAGAGGGAGAGCGATCGACAACGAAGGAGAGGGGTGCTCTGACCCGCAGCTGTAGCACAATACCCCCCACCCCCAGCCCCCCGACCCCTGACACAAATGTGACACCCCAGCTGCCAGTGCCCCCCCCCCCCCACCTTAACATTACCATATGTATGGCCCTGCTCTCCTAATTATGCTAATCACCTGTCCAGCCCTGCAGCCTCTCCAATGGGTGTATTTAGCAGTCGGCTAGCTCCCAACGCAGCCTGCCCTGGGCCCGAGGTGTACATTCACACACTCACACAGCTCTCAATGGGCAGATTCTTCCACGTTGCTGCCTGCATTCAGCTCCCTCTCCCCTGAAGAAACCCTATTCAAGTCCACTGGATTTGAGTAAGGAAATAAGAAAAAGTAAGGAGAGGAAAGTGGGAGTGTGTGTGTGTGCATGTTGCAACCAAAATACTCAAGAGGTCAAGCTAAATGATATATCAATTGGTGTGAGTGACAAAAAGCGAACTAGAGAGGACATTTTTAGCATTTTGAGATGGAAGGTAGAATAATATTGCCTTTCTTTGTCACACACACGTCCACATGTACACGCACACACACACACAATCACACACACACACACACCCACACACACAAGATGTGTTTCTCTGTCTAATGCAGAAGGATGAGCTCACCAGCACACATAAAAACCAGCCTGATCACTAGAAATAGACAGAGATTTTGGACGTTTGAAAAGGTCCTGAGAACGTCGATATCAAATCAAATCAAATGTTATTTGTCACATGCGCCGATGTCAAGTGTCAATGTGCAGCGGTAGGACGGAGTCAGGCACAGGACACAGAACTGAGTAAACGACGTACTTTACTCTAAAAATAAACAACACTAATCTCCACGCAGGGAAAACACACCAGCTCACATAAGTCTTAGACACAAAGCAAAGAACAAACACGCACAAAACCATGTGGGAACCAGAGGGTTAAATAGGGAAATACTATAATGTAATGGGAAACAGGTGTGTACAATCAAGACAAAACAAATGGAAAAAGAAACGTAGATCGGTGGCAGCTAGAAAACCGGTGACGACGACCGCCGAACGCCGCCCGAACAAGGAGAGGCACCAACTTCGGCGGAAGTCGTGACAGCCAAATACAACAGGAGTCGACCTTACAGTGAAATGCTTACTTACAAGCCCTTAACCAACAATGCAGTTAAGAAAATATTTACTAAATAAACTAGTAAAAAATTAAATAAAAAGTAACACAATAAAATAATAATGAGGCTGTATACAGGGGGTACCGGTACCAAGTCAATGTGCGGGGGTACAGGTTAGTCGAGGTCATTTGTACATGTAGGTAGTGGTAAAGTGACTATGTATAGATAATAAACAGCGAGTAGCAGCAGGGTAAAAACAAAGGAGGTGGCCATTTGATTAATTGTTCAGCAGTCTTATGGCTTGGGGGTAGAAGCTGTTAAGGAGCCTTTTGGACCTAGACTTGGTGCTCCGGTACCGCTTGCCATGCGGTAGCAGAGAGAACAGTCTATGACTTGGGTGACTGGAGTCTTTGACAAACTAATGATTGTGTTGGAGTCATGCTTGGCCACGCAGTCGTGGGTGAACAGGGAGTACAGGAGGGGACTAAGCACACACCCCTGAGGGGCCCCAGTGTTGAGGATCAACGTGGCAGATGTGTTGTTGCCTTCCCTTACCACCTGGGTGCGTCCCATCAGGAAGTCCAGGATCCAGTTGCAGAGGGAGGTGCTCAGTCCCAGGGTCCTTAGCTTAGTGATGAGCTTTGTGGGCACTATGGTGTTGAACGCTGAGCTGTAGTCAATGAACAGCATTCTCACATAGGTGTTCCTTTTGTCCAGGTGGGAAAGGGCAGTGTGGAGTGCGATTGACATTGCGTCATCTGTGGATCTGTTGGGGCAGTATGCGAATTGGAGTGGGTCTAGGGTTTCCGGGATGATGGTGTTGATGTGAGCCATGACCAGCCTTTCAAAGTACTTCATGGCTACCGACGTGAGTGCTACGGGGCGGTAGTCATTTAGGCAGGTTACCTTCGCTTTCTAGGGCACAGGGACTATGGTGGTCTGCTTGAAACATGTAGGTATTACAGACTCGGTCAGGGAGAGGTTGAAAATGTCAGTGAAGACACTTGCCAGTTGGTCTGCGCATGCTCTGAGTACACGTCCTGGTAATCCGTCTGGCCCCGCGGCCTTGTGAATGTTGACCTGTTTAAAGGTCTTGCTCACATCGGCTACGGAGATATATGCGTTCCTCGGCACTCACAAAAAAATGACAACGATTACCCAGCACTGGGCGCCAGAGCAAGCTGCTTAGACCACTGCACCACCACAGTTCACGATGCTGTCACAAGCCATGAGAATATTTGATGATAGTTGATGGAAACAGCATGTTGTTTTTAATTATTTTGTTTTAAGCCTTCCCCAAACCATAGCCCTAACCCTAACCACTCGGAATTAATACCTGAACTTAACCCTTTGAGTTGTTTCTGTTTTAACCCTGTAACCACGTGGAATGAATGCATAAAAAATAGACGTTCATGCAAATTTCGAAGGTAAACTATGAGAGAGGAAGAGAGACAGATAGACAGAAAAAACACCACCCATTGCAAAAACATGACTATACTACATTTCAACTCAATCAAACTCTGCTTTCATAAATAGTGCATCATTGTGTCATGATTAACAACCTGTGACATAGATGTAATAAGTTTGTAATAAAGTTGATAAGATGATTAGAAGCACACCTTGTAGTACTAATATACATGAAAACATGACATATTATTCCATTAGTTCTTATTCCAACAGCATATCCCAGACCTCTGTCTGTCTGTCTGTCTGTCTGTCTGTCTGTCTGTCTGTCTGTCTGTCTGTCTGTCTGTCTGTCTGTCTGTCTGTCTGTCTCTCTGTGTGTGTGCTTGTCTGCCCGTCCGTCCGTCTGTCTGTCTGTCTGTCCTGCCATATGATTGGCCCAGAGCCCAGCCATAACAGGCCATGACATGACTGGGAGCAGTCAATCTGAGCCAGCCATCTCTCTGTCATTTTCTGGTAAGATGGCCTACTGATTCCAGGTATCCCACAATCACACATTCCAGCGGACCCCACAGTACAGCAGCGTGCAGTACAAGCCAAGCTAAGCCAGGGGAGGGGAGAGTTCCCCACTAGGTCACAGGTGTTCCACCTCATCATACTAACTGCTGGGATGGGCTCCTGCCCGGTGTGGTTTGTCACAATCTGCTTGTCCCACGGAAGATTAAGATCTCAGTGTTTGTGACCTGTTGTTTCTGGGATGGGTTGTGTGTATGGAGTTTGTCGAAGGAACACAGGAGTATGTGGTAGGAAAATCTAAGAATATTGCCATAAGTCTGCTCTCTCTCGCTCTCTCTCTCACTTACATAGATACACACACACGCAGACACACACACAGCTCAATCGCCCGCCAGCTTCAAACTTCAACCCAAGTCCCAGCTCCCAGTACCGCTGGCCCTGGAGCCAAAACACAAACACACTACCGCTACTATACTCCTTCTCCAGTCCTCCCCCTATCCTTCCCTCTCTCTCTGCTTTTCCTCACACTCCCCGCCCCTCTGTCCGCCAGCACTGGGAGGGAGGGGAAGGAGAGGGAGGGAGGAGAGGAAAGAGGAGGAGGGAGGGAGGGAGGGTGGACCACCGTGACTGTCATGGCAGGGCTGTGTGTTTACATTGCTGTGCCTCACTCTGCAATACATCTGGCATTCTGGAGCCACTCTTCCCTGCCGGGGGGGGGGTTAGAGGAAAGAGACCTTTTCGGCAGAGAGGAAAGAAGGGGGAGCTAAGGGGGGGAGAGAGAGAGAAGGATGGAGTGAGGGAGAGAGGAGGAGGGAGGGAGAGGGGAAGTTTTGGAGGAGTCTCTTGCGGTCGGTCATTCGCAGAGCTCTGGTTTTTGAATAAGAGCGTCTGAAAGAATGCAGAATGTAAACACAGCGCTTGGAGGCATCTCAGGAGGTGGTTTGTGAATGGGAGACCGTCCATTTCTACAATACACACACACGCACACACACACTCTAGAGTTGTAACTTTTCAAACATATTTAACCTTTATTTCGCCATATAAGTCATTGGGAATAAACACTCTTTTAAAATAATGACTTTTAAAAACTTTTAAAAACAGAGCCATAACTCTGTGCACACTAACACAGCCATGGTGTTTTCCAAACACTAAATCATTCTCCAGCTCGCCTGCACATTTCATCAACTAGTAAAGTTTAACATAACATGTTGGAATGTTATTCTACTGACGGCTTAATCCTGTTTGGAGTCAACTGATAAACACAAAGAATTTGGAGCCCACTTGTTTTCCTGTGTGTATGTGAAAGGGCCCGACCCGTCAACAGAGTGATGATGTAGGCCGCCCGGCCCTGCTCCGTCGGGAAGGAGGAGGGTTGTAGGCTGAATACCAGGGAACACTGGGTGAGGAATTCCCCGCAGCCCTCTGGACGTCCGTTACACCTCTCCGGAGGTGGTAGGCAGGGTTCCCGCAATGTCGCAGGCGAGACTGGAGACGCCGGCTGCTGGGGATGGTCGGGTGTCCACATTTGCATGCACGTGTAATGCGTATATTTCTTGTGCTGTGCAATTAGGCTACAATGTGTGTTTGTGCCCGCATTTGTGCATGTTTGATTGCTTGTGTCTGCAAAATGAGAGTGGATAGAGTGAGCGGGAAAAGTCTAGGATGGCAGAGGGAGGGTAAAAGAACTATCCTGCCATTCCCATTCAACTAGCTCCTCACTCAGAGGCAAAACAGAGGAGACTGTGTGTGTGTCTTCCTATACACATCAAAACGAGGATAATTCTGACCAGAGAGAAGAAGCCACATTTGGAGTCTTCCCTTCCTTTCCTCTTTTCTCTTCTCCCTCTTCTCTTCTTATTCCCTGTCTCTTTCTCTATCCTCCTCTCTTCTCCCTCCTCCCCCTCTCTCTCCCTCTTCCCCCTCTCTCTCCCTCCTCCTCCTCCGTCCACATGAAAGGTTGACTGGGCCTTTTTCACAGTCACTCAGCATTATAGTTAGCCCGACCGATATATCAGTTCACCGATATTAAAGGTAGACTCAGGGAAATGAAGTTGCCACGAGCAGCACTGCAGATATTGAGATGAGCGAGATGCAAGACTTCACTCACACACAGTATCTGCGCACTTGCACAGAGAAGCAGAGAAGTTGAGCCTCACGCTTCAACGCTCTTAGTTGTTGTGGAAATTGTCACACTGTGCTTTTTACTCTCTGCATCTACGTTATATCGCTGAGTCTACCTTTAACAGCCAATATTGGCCTATTACCAGACCAAAATAAATAATGACAGTACTCTGCCTCTAGCAGCACAACAACAAGCTAACCACGTATTATTCGTCATGAGGGCAATGGCACGCAAATATGTAGCTGTGCTTCAAGTCATGTTGCTTAAGCAAAGGCATGGCAACTTTTCCAGAATGAGGACACACACACACCAACACTAGGCGGGTGATTCTCATGAAACCAGTTTTAACCATGGCAGTAGCAAAATCTGCAATAATGAACTATCATTCTGAATACTAGTTTATGGCACAGTGACTTATTTTAAATACATTTTATATTTTCACCTGAATTTTGTACATTTTCACCCCAAATTCTCATCACTGAAATACATCCGGATTAAATTATTGGGTCATTTTATAAAATGTTATCTTTTGCTGTAGGTTGTCCATAAATCATACAAATTGTATGCTAGTTGAAGTTTACATTAAACTATAATATTTTTAGGTCAGTTGCGGTAATGATAACCTTAATTTCGGTAATAATAATAATAAGCTAATTCTAATGTATAGTCAAATGGTGTGCTGTGCTGGTAACGTTTATGATTTACTAGGACCACTGCTTACACCTATTGTATAGATTTTTTTGTAAAACATCAGTTATTTGATTAAGTAGGGATTGTTAAGAAATATGGGTGTATAAACCCCATTTAATTTACTTAAAGCCACAATCTGGAGTTTGTGTTTCAGCAAAGAGCAACCCCGCCACTTAAAGTTGGATATCCCCCATTTTGACACGTGTGTTACAGGAGGGGGTCGCAGTTCCGGAGCGACCCACTAGGTATCATCCTGCGACAACCTTAGGCACCTCCTCACTCACAGTCTGGACTAATCATTATCCTATTGGTGTCACCTGTGTCTACCTGTTCACCTGTGTATTTATGCCCTCACTTCCCTGTGTTCCCTTGCTCAGTTTTCTCTGCTAGTTTCACTATGCTCAGCAGTACTAATCAGTGTCTGATCGGAGAAGTATGTACAGGTACTCAAGAAATGTTCTCCCTGTTTCTTTATTATTTCAGTCGTAGTTACAATTTCGTATTTTGGCTGTCAGCTTGTTTTTGGAGACTTATTTGCGCCACCTTTCTTTATCGTGTTAAGTCTGTTGTTTTGTATCCTGGTTTCGGGACCACCAGTAAAGATCCTTGTTTTCACCATCTCTACCTACAGCCTACTGTCTATCCTGCACCGCACCTGGGTCACACCTCACACCAACCCTTACAGAAAACTGAGCCAGTATGGACCCAGCGGAGGAAGCACAGTATTGGAGCGCATTGGCAACGCAGGGAGCTATGCTGAACCAACACGACCGCAGCCTGCAGCAGATCACAGAGAATCTCCGCCAGCTGACGATCGCCGTGCAGAGCCGGGTGGACACCCGACCAGCCCCGGCAGATGGCGCCTACCACCTCCGGAGAGGTGTGACAGACGTCCAGAGGGCTGCAGGGAATTCCTCACCCAGTTTTCCCTGGTATTCAGCCAACAACCCTCCTCCTTCCCGACGGAGCAGGGCTGGGCGGCCTACATCATCACTCTGTTGACGGGTCGGGCCTTTTCCTGGGCTACCGCGGAGTGGGAGAGCCAAACTCCGGCGTGCTCCGACTCCTACCAATTCACCCGGGAGCTACGCAAGGTGTTCGACACCTCTCGGGTGGTGTCGGGGCACAAGTTCAGGAGGCGGCTCACGGCCTGTCAGCAGGGTGACCGTTCGGTGGCAGACTACTCCGTGGATTTCCGGACCCAGGCTCGAGAGGTAGGATGGGTGGAGGCCGCCCTAGTCGTCCTTTACGCACAGGGGCTATCGGAGGGGATGAAGGACGAACTCTCCTTCAGGGAGCTGCCTGAGTGACAGTACGGTCTCATCGACCTCTCGGTGCGGGTAGACAATCGGCGTCATTAGAGGGCGTTTGAGAGAGAGATGACACAAGGCGTGTTTCTGCGTCCTGGAGGCTTTCAGCCGATTCAGGGAGGAGACGCCTCAGGAAGAAGCTATGCAGCTGGGTGCGGTGCGCTTGTCCAGGATGGAGAGGCAGAGGCGTCTGCGCCAGGGACATTGCCTGTACGCCAGGCAGGTCACCACTGCGACTTATGCCCGGAGAAACCGGGAAACGGTTGTGCTCGCTAGTATCGGGAGTGGTGCTAGCGAGTCGGAATCGAAACCCCAACTCCAGAGACTCCCAGACTTTTCTCCCCGTCAGGGTTCAGTGGGCCCGCGCTGAGCATCGGGTGCATGCGCTGGTGGATTCTGGGGCAGCGGAAAACCTGATGGACGCGGGGCTGGCCCAAGGGTGGAGCGTTCCCTTACTCTCCCTCTCCGAGCCGGTTCCGGTCATGGGCCTGGACGGCCGGCAGTTGGGGTCAGGCTTCATCACCCGGCACACTGTCCCCTTGCTTGTCCGGGTGGCAGGGGGACTATGGGAGGATATCCAGTTTTTCATTGTGGACTCTCCGGAGTGTCCCCTTGTCCTCAGGCACCCCTGGCTGGTCGCCCAGAAACCCCGGATAGACTGGTCCACGGGGCGGCTCATCCTCCTGGAGGGAGGATCCGCCCCCGTCCTGTTCCGGTCTCCACCGACCACTCATCAGCCCAAACGACTGTCCCAGACCACCACCTCACCTCTTCCCCAGGTCCCGCACTCCGAACTGCCTACCGCCGGTTGCCACCGGGAGGACGGCAGCTACAGACTCCGTCACCGGCCCAGACCTGGCAGGCGTTCCCCGGGAGTATTGGGATCTGGGGGAGGTGTTTAGTAAGAGGCGTGCCAAGGGCCTACCTCCTCACAGGCCACATGACTGCGCTATCAATCTCCTGCCGGGAGCCATGCCCACACGAGGGTGATTGTTTTCCTTGTCCCGGTCGGAGACGCTGGCCATGAGGGAGTATATCGACGAAGCACTTGTCGAGGGTCACATCCGCCCATCTACCTCACCCGCGGCCACGGGCTTCTTCTTCGTGAGGAAAACGGACGGTGGGCAACGTCATGTGCGTTGATTACCGGGCGGTCAACGTCATCCCGGTTAAGAACTGCTACCCACTCCCCCTGAAGACGACGGCATTCGAGTCGTTGCAGGGAGCCCGGATCTTCACCAAGCTGGAAGAAATGCCTACAACCTGGTGAGGATTCGGGAGGGGGACGAGTGGAAGACGGCTTTTAACACACCCAGTGGGCATTACGAGTACCAAGTCATGCCGTTCGGTTTAGCCAACGCACCTGCGGTGTTCCAGGCGTTGGTCAATGACATGCTCAGGGACCTCCTCGACCACAGCATCTTCGTGTATTTGGATGACATCAGAAAATGTTCAAAGGACATGACTGAACACCAGCAGCATGTTCGGCAGGTCCTCCAATGCCTTCTCTGTCACCAGCTCTACGTCAAGGCGGAGAAGTGCGTGTTCCACACGGAGACAGTCTCCTTCCTGGGGTTCATCGTCACCCAGGGGGACATACGGATGGACACAGCCAAGGTCAGCGCGGTACTGGATTGGCCCCAGCCCTCATCCCTCAAGCAACTACAACGTTTTTTAGGGTTCGCTAATTTCTATAGCCGCTCCCCTGACAGCCCTCACCTAGACGAGCGTGCCCTCCTTCGCCTGGACCCCGGAAGCGGGGAACACATTCGATGCGCTTAAGCGACGCTTTACATCGGCCCCGGTCCTAGGGCATCCTGATCCATCCCTACCATTCATTGTGGAGGTGGATGCTTCAGACGTTGCGGTGAGAGCAATCCTGTCCCAGGGGTTCATCACGGACGGTAAGACTCACCCCTGCACATCTTTCTCCCGTTGGCTGTCCCCTGCGGAGCAGAATTACGACTTGGGGAACCGTGAGCTGCTAGCAGTCAAGCTTGTTTTGGGGGAGACCTCAGAAAAAAAGGGTAGATCTCCACAAGTCTGGTTCATCCTTGGGAGCAATTTCCAAACGCCTGAAGGTACCACGTTCATCTGTACAAACAATAGTGTGCAGTTGCAAACCGTAGTCTGGCTTTTTTATGGCGGTTTTGGAGCAGTGGCTTCTTCCTTGCTGAGCGGCCATTCAGGTTATGTCGATATAGGACTAGTTTTACTGTGGATATAGATACTTTTGTACCTGTTTCCTCCAGCATCTTCACAAGGTCCTTTGCTGTTGTTCTGGGATTGATTTGCACTTGAGTACATTCATCTCTAGGAGACAGAACGCGTCTCCTTCCTGAGCGGTACGACGGCTGTGTGGTCCCATGGTGTTTATACTTGCGTACTACTGTTTGTACAGATGAACGTGGTACCTTCAGGCGTTTGGAAATTGCTCCCAAGGATGAACCAGGCTTGTGGAGGTCTTCAACTTTTTTCTGAGGTCTTGGCTGTTTTCTTTGGATTTTCTCATGATGTCAAGCAAAGAGGCACTGAGTTTGAAGGTAGGCCTTGAAATAGAGCCACAGGTACACCTCCAATTGACTCAAATTATGTCAATTAGCCTATCAGAAGCTTCTAAAGCTATGACATCATTTTCTGGAATTTTCCAAGCTGTTTAAAGGCACAGTCAACTTAGTGTATGTAAACTTCTGACCCACTGGAATTGTGATACAGTGAATTTTAAGTTAAATAATCTGTCTGTAAACAATTGTTGGAAAAATTACTTGTGTCATGCACATGTCCTAACTGACTTGCCAAAACTATAGTTTGTTAACAAGAAATTTGTGGAGTGGTTGAAAAACGAGTTTTAATGACTCCAACCTAAGTGTATGTAAACTTCCGACTTCAACTGTATTTGTTTTCAGTGTTATGTTTAACTCAGGCCTTTTCATTAGGTGAGCAATGTTAAAAAACATTTGAAATTGATTTGTTCACTACTTTTTTGGACTTCACAAACTATTGCGATAATGAGAATTTTTGCGTTTGTAGTTGGGGAATTTGTGTTAAAATGCATCATATCTGATCAATAAACATAACAATAATTATGAAACAGATAAATACAGATCCTAATCTTAGTGATCGAAGACGTTTTTTTTCTTCAGTCAAGTGGCAGTTTTGTGAGAATCACCCAGGCCCTGACTAACTGCTGTGGAATAGAAAACCAAAGCAAATCCATAAGAAGCACCAGCAGTAGCTGGGAGAGAGAAAAACTATGATAATAAACATTGATATAGTACAAATAGAAGTCAGAGTAAATCTGACTGCCCTCTGCTGGAGGGATGGGAGACAAATAAGACACACAAAAACAGTGACACACTCTCAGCGCATTGAACACACACACACATACACACAAACACTCCCAGACACAGAAAACTACAGGGACTAATTGTGACAGCTGCTGTGACCTTTTTGTGCCCCTTCTCATTCTCTTCCTCCTATCTCTCTCCCCCCCCCCCTCTCTCTCTGCTGTGATTCCTCACTCTACACCAGGGCCACAGGGTGAGTATCAGGTGAGGTTTTGAATAGCGGCGCCTCCACACACAGACCCCAAACCTGTGGCCCCTGGCCCCAAACTCTGCCCTGCTCTCTCTCTCTCTTTCTGTGTGTGCGTGCGTGCGTGGGGGGGGGGTGGGGGTGATGGGCTCGGAGGAGGAAGGGTATGAGTAGGAGGAGGAGTGCTGTGCAAGCAGGGGTTAAATTAAGGGGGAACGGATTGGACAATTCAGGGGGTGATAGAGGGTGGGAGAGCCCCAAAGTCAGTGACTTCATAGGAGCCCCAGCCTCTGTCCTGCTCTACAGGACCTAGCCCCAGCATCATCCCAACCCCCTGCAACAAGGCCTAGTAGCAGTCCTAACTCCCTCGGTCTAAACTCCAGGCACAGCCCTATCCCCAATTCCAGTCCCATGTCCTCAGCCCCAGACCTAACATACCATTTATTTCCTAACTCATCCAAAAAAAACAGCCCTAACTCTACACCACAGCCCCTAACCATAGCCCCAGCCTCTCTGCTAAACCCCAGCCCTTCTCAGCATGCAGAGGTAGCTAGCGAGGGGCCACTCTACAGGAAGACTAATGTTTACGCCATACTGTTTTAATTAGACTCAGCCAGCGCTGGTATTTTCTTTACAATTTGGCCTGTGTTTGTGTTAACCCAGAATGGCGAGGGATGGCTCTACTTTCATACCATGAGGACCAGGGAGTTCGCTTCCTTTTCTTTTCTACTCGGATACGTCTCTGCTAGAGGGAAATTAGTCATATATTTGATTTAGAAAATCACTAAGGGTTTGGTGATATGAAACACTGCTGATAAATCTGAACAGCCTTGAGAAAGAAGTGTCCTGGCAGCCATATTTGAATAGGAGAGCCCACCACAACACTGCAACTTCCTGTTTAGGCAGGTCACTTCCTGTCACTACTCTCATCAATGTACACAGCTTAATCGACCTCTACTACGTATAAAGTCAGCATCCTAAATCTTAATTCATCCATAATCGCATTTACATGTACTGTATCTATGCATTTTTCCCGCCAAGTCAAGAGATCAACCTGTTTGCCCCAAAGAGATCCAAAAAGCTTTTCAGTGCTTATGCCTGTTGGATGACACAGACACTTCTTTCTACTCTTTCTTCTTTTATCTGTTTGATTTAACTGTCCATCCCTCAACATTTCTAATAAACACAGCTTTCTGTATCTAAATGAGAGTGTAGTCTTAGTGTTTATGGGTACTGGGGTACTTATTGTGTGAAGAAAGTCAACCCCAACCAAGGCAGCTGAATGTGATTCTCCTTGAATAAGACAAGCTGCAGTACTAAACTACGGACCTAGCAGGATGAAGCCTTACCATAAGCATAGCAGGTGACGAAAGACAGCATGAGATCACCCATGCAACTCCACTCAATTCCGATGAGAGATCTGCTATGGTGTGTGTTGGTGTATGTGTGTCTTAATGGCCAGAGCTCCCCGGTGGGGTCATGTAGAGGTTGCATGCAGAGGAACGGATCCAAATTAAACATAAACAGACGTCCTCTCGCTCTTCTCCTCCTCCCCTCTTCTCATACCTTCCTTTTTCTCCTCCTCTCCTCTTCTCATCTCCCCTCCTCTCATCCCCTCCTCTCTCCCTCTTCACATTGATGTTGGACCACAGTTCCCCCTGTGCTGAGCTGAGCCCAGAGCAGCCCTCCACTGTCCAGGCAGTACTAATCTATCCCTCAGCTGTGCAGTCTAATCTAAACAAACACATCTCTCCCAACCAGCATCTGGAACCCCTCACGTCCCTAGACCTGGGAATAGTGTGTGTGTGTTCTCATGCACTTGTGTGCACATGCAAACCACAGCCATCCGTCATCCCAATAAACTAGTAGATGACCATGGGTTCTGACATCTTGACATAACAAAACAATAACACAGGGTAAGGAGATAGTAACCCTGTAAAAGCATGTGCTGTAGTGTAGTTGACCTTCTGTTGACAGGTTTGTGTGTGAATCACCATGGAACTATGCAACATTAGGATGGGTCCAGGAAAGAAGATACCACTTGATGTTGTTGTGCTTTATTAACACCCCATTATTGTAACTCTGTGTCAGCTAACTTCAGTAAACTATAAGAGTAGTAGGCATGGGATATTGAGCAAAGAAAAGGCATTTGGCCATTGACATTAAAGGTATTTATTAGACAATCTACTGTTGACAGAATCCACATGCTTTAAAATAACATTGCTTAACCAAATCTTTAGCACACAGTAATAACCTATTACTGTTTAAAGTAACTGTCCAAGGACAATCTCACTTTTAAAAGTTAATATTCTGTTAACTCATACCCAAATAAAGTTGTTGACTCGTCCTATACTCGTATTTGTGGTCAAAGCATAAACTGGAGAAAAAACACTTTCTAAAAAAACATCTCAAACAGACATTTAAAAAATGCTTGCTATTTCCTCATAGAACATGATGTCATGTTGGCTCATTGGCTGATCTGGCCAATCAGTGGTCTCCTAGTATGAATATTTTTAATGACCGGTTTACACCCACACCATTCTGTTGTTGGGGTATGCCCAACACCATTTCAACACAGAACATTTTAACATACTTATTTACCACTTTTTGGAAGGAAAACTATTTCACTCATATTGTAATTAACTATAGGTCATATTTCATAGAAATCTGGAAACATTGGACAGTTCTTTTAAAGTAACATACATCTAGTAGGTTATAGAATACTGCACCAGAAAAAGCTTGTCAGAGCTTGATCGACCCTCACGAGCTGAACTGCTCTTGCATTACAGATGAGCATGCTCTCTGTAAACACTGAAACTGCTGGCACGGTTGGCTAGAGAACTATGGGAGGGGGAAATTTATTTTAATTTTTAGTCATTCTATCCAGAGCGACTTACAGTTAGTGAGTGCATACATTTTCATACAGGCCCCCCGTGGGAATCGAACCCACAACCCTGGCGTTACAAACGCCATGCTCTACCAACTGAGCTACACGGGACTAATTTCTGTCGGGATGATTCACTGTTCATTTGAACTTATTTTATTTTCCTTTTTTCTTAAATCGTATTCTCTTTGACGGCATTTATATCGCTATACTAATCATATGCCAACCCTAAACATAGCTAAAGATACTGCCGACATATTTTATGTAAACAACCATGACCAAAAGGCAATAACATTTCAATCGTAAATCCCAAGTATGATCTCTTTCAAACCGCCCAAATTTCAAAAGAAAGTGAATTGATGACCTATTCGTGACTCAAATACCACCGTCCTAAACTACTGGAATGCAGATCAAAGGAAGAAAAAACGCGGCCCCTCCCCCTTTCCCCAAAATCACCACCCATACTCAAAAGACCCCCTTTCAACAAAAATACACTCTACATAACTAAAAAGAATAGCATAACCCTGAGTTTCAGACGGTCTACTTTTGTAAACATGCGTTTCTGTCCGCACTCCGCTTTTTTCCTTCAGCCGGAGACAAATCTTTTTGGAAAGTTGAGAGCTGTCCAAAACGGGACCACACACAGTCTCCGAGCTGTGCGCGGATCACATTCAACTGCTGGGGGCAGGCAGACGCACACACACTCACACACACTCACAAAATGGCGGCTTTGACAACATTTCCTTTCTCCAAAACTATCATAAACTTAATAACAACTTTCCTTTTAACTTAAAGAAACATTTTGAGCTACTCTGTGAGCCTTCTTTCCCCACATGCAGCGTTAACTCAACATATCCAACGCAACAAAAACCATAACATGAAACGAAATAAAAATATGTTCAAGTTGTAACCTGGCCCCTTGTCAAACTGCTGCTATATAATAAACATTCCCCCCAGCTTGTTTTGAAGACCCCCCACCCCTTTCCACCCCACCCAACCTTATCCCTTCCCAGACTTTAGCTTATTCTCAACAGGAAAGACAAACGATTCAACAGGCAAAATAAAAGGACCAAAATCATAAATAATTGTCTTACCTTCTACCCAGAGTTTCTCCACGTCGGTTTCCAGATTAGCTGCCCGTAAGCCAACAGCGAAAGCTCCGAATATCAAGAGGCCCACAACCAAAAACTTTCCGCAGTTCTTTTGTATGTAACAGCCCAACTTAAACAAGAGTCTCTGAAACTTCGCTCTCAGCCACAGCGGTGCTTTTCTTCCAGTCGCCTTCCCCTGCGACAAGACAAGAGAAAGTCTACATAAATATTACTCCCCAAACAAGTGCTGGGAGCATCAAAGATGTAGGCCTATCATTATTGATCAATGGGGTGTAGTGTTATGGGATGAGGACATCACGGTTGTCATAGAATATAAGACATGTTAATGAACGTGTTATGACAATGGTGTGATTGGTGCAATTTGTCGTTCTAGATCAACACTTAATTTGCGGACTTCTATAATGCATGAGCTGTTTATATGTAGGCTATGCTTTATAGCATACTGTATATGTGCAGTGTGTTCAATATGGTACATCAATGTAAACTGTTCTAAATAAGAACCTCGGAGTAGGCCTGTTATTCTGGCCAAAAGAGGACTTGGTCGGACCTCCTACGTCGAGGGAGGAAATAGATATAAAGTTGGCGAGCCAGCGACGTAAGCAGCGGTTTTGGACGATAGGACTAAAGTCCGTTACATTTTTGTTTTTACCACACACACACAGACGGACAAGGAGGGGAACGCGCAGCAATGCTTGCTGTCAGTGACACAGTGTAACACCGCGCGAGCCTTGATGTGATACATTGTATCGAATTATTATATTAATCCCCCAAAAGATTCACGTGGGGTTTTACGCTGCCGCAAAATCACACACAACACAATTCCATTCCCATTGAGCTACTTGTGTGATCTGAGCTGGGGAGTGGAGTAGCCATCTCGGAGGGAGTTAAACTACGACAATATTTGTGAACGGAAGAGGGCAGCCACATGGATTTTTGCTTTGGAGAAGAGAACGGAGAACGACTCCCCAGTAAAGATAATATCGTACAGACGTCTGGGCAGTTAAAATATTGTACTACCGTTACGCAAACACATAGGCCTAAACATTTATGCACATTTTAATTGTGCAAAAGTAGGGAATCGCCTACACCGTGTAGCCTATGTTGCGCGACCGTTATTGAAACGTTGTAGCCTATAGTGTAGCCTACCATTATAGGAAAGTTACAATTTATAGACTACAATGTGTAGCCTACATTCCCAAGGAGGAGGATTAGTCTATATGCGAGAAAAGTTAACTATTCTTGAATAGCAAATCACAACATAGGCTACAAGGTATAGCTCTAGTATACACCCTAACCCATCTCCCCCTACCCTGCCCGTCCCGTAGCTATCCCGTTACCTAGCGACTTGACAAAGTTGGGCAGTTTCACTATATAGTAGAAGCATACCCATAGCATTTCACTCAAACGTGTCAAAGAATAAGCACCTCGGATATTTGCTCCAAGGCGAAAGCTGCATCGCAGTAACTTGGCCGCTGCAAATACTCCAAATCCGGCGCTGTTGTGCGATAGTTCCCCCTGTTCCTCCGCGTTATCCTCGGCCGATCGGGGTCCCTGTTTTCCTGCTCTGAGGAGGCATTAGCAGCCGAGGCCATGTTGCGGTGACTTCGCGCTGGTTCTGCTTTTACACGTTATAATATTTCCCCGAAAGCGTGTAGTAATGTCCCAAGGCAACACAGTTTCACTCTCGGTGATCTCACACCCGTAAAGTACTTCATACTCCTGTTGGAGACGGCGAGTCAAAGTCTGCACCTTCCATCCCAACATTTCGTGATCCGGAGGTCTCCACCGCTTCGCACATTCACCGTTTCTCTTCAAAAAAAGTTATTTATCTTAAAAGGCAAAGTGGAAATATCGATTCCCATCTACAAAACCGCGGCTTGGAACGTTCGATGGTCGTAGCATTCTGTGTGTTCTATGTGGTCTTCCCTTGGGCCGCGCAACACGGCGAACTCTGAGATTCAATAGAGGAGAAAAAAGACCACTCTCCATTTGGGGACAGAGGAGGAGGGGTAAAAGCAAAAATAATCGAAATCCCGCCTCCAGGGCTGTCAGATGGCCGGACTTTCTCGCATCTGATTGGTTCCAGAAGGGCAAAAATTACTCAGAAAACACGACTATTATTAGCTGCTTAGCAACAGCTCACTAAAGTAGAGCGACCACCCAAGCCGACAACCCTCGTGTGTGCATCTCAAACTTCAGGGGAGCCTTTCAGAAAGCCAGCCCTCTTGTGCGTTTGCGCGCAACCAAGACCGGAGTTTGTGGTTTTCCAAAAGGAACTACATTTCTTGAAGCAGCATTTCTTGAAGAAAACACACTTCCAAGGCGAAGTATGCAGTCTGTTCGTCTGAGGGGTTTCGAGGAATGTCAGAACTGCAGTTTTTAACTTAAATTTGTTCCCCAACAGGCCCTGATGGTGGTAGCTTGGCCTCAAATTACAGAGGTTCTGGGGGAGGTCCCAAATTTCAGTCCGTCTCAATGTTCCCTAATGACAGTTTAGTGGATAGCCTAACAAACATCATAATAGGGTAAAAATGAAAACCCTTAATCTATACAAATTAAGAAACACAATAATACATAAACAGTGAAACCATCAATACTATCTACAGTTAGCCTATCAATCTAATATTATAGGCCTAATTGTCACTTCTGTTTTCGCATGTTGCGCATGCACTTGGAGAGGCTTACTCTTTCTTGGATTACACTACAAATATTAATTACGCTAATACACTTAGGCTATATAACACGTATAAACACATTTTATATGTCTATTATTGAACTGGATGGTCTTAGGGGCCTCCCTCTCTCTCTTGCCCTAGCTCTATGCTGTGTGCTGATGCGTAGCCCAAATACATGCCAAACAATGCCCGCTGTCTCAATGTCACTCTGCAGTCACCGACAGTGAGGAGCTGAAAAAAGTTATGTCCTCAGAGATAAGGCAAGAGATGGTAGAAAAGATGACTTGAGAGGTAGGCTAGGTCTAGTCTATGTAATAAATGCATTATACATTGTGGGCCTACACTGTGTCGACTTCCCTCGCCTAAACAATATGGTAAACGTGCTTTCTATCAGGAATGAGCAACATACACTTTTGGTGTTAGCCCTGCTCACTTTCAAAAATATATATACACTTTTGGGGATCTTAAAATAGAGTGGATCCTTTCATTAAATAAGTATTTTATTTCCCATTCAGCAGATAAACAGGCCTAATGGATGGCATGTGTGCGTTCCACTGTCAGATCAAAATCCATACTTTCAATCGTTATAATAACAATGATTGTCTGATGATTAAAACAACAATTACTCTTATGGTTGTGAGCACTGTGTGAACAGTCACAGAAAAAACGAACTGATATCTTTATCTTTCAAAATGCATTTCAGGGCCTGTATTCACAGTGTCTCAGAAAGGACTTCTGATCCATGATCAGTTCTGCATTTCAGATCATTATGAATCAGACAGGGGCACCTGATCCTAGATCAGGATTCCTACTCCGAGACGCTTTGTTATTAGAGGCCCAGTTCTAATCTCATCCATATTGTAAGGTATCATGTGTAATAACATATACAGATGTGGGATCTTAATTTGAGCCAGTTTGCTACAGCAGGAAAATAATCCTCCAGCAACAGGAAATGTGAATTATTTTGTGGATTATAATTAATGGCATTTTTTTGTAGGGGTTGATACATTTTTTGTCAGGGCAAATCAAGTCTGACATTTTAAAGTGGAAATTACAAACTTTAGAAGCCTTTTTAAACCTCGAATACACTACAAGTTTGAATTTTCTGCTGTGCAGGAAAATTCTCAGCAACAAAAGAGTGATCAAATTAAATCAACATCTGTATGTAGGAAAGTATCACAGTTATTTAATGCAGACATCACACTGCAAGGAGATCATGTATAATTAACTAGTAACAAATTTTTGACCGGTAGATTTTGACCGGTAGGCCATCTCAAGAAACGTAATTGTCTTAAAGTGTTGCATGATTCTATTTCATTATGAAAAGTAAAGACATTGCCATACTTTGTCCCAAGGTCAATACCACTTATGCTCTCCAGAATATGGCCCATGCTCACATTATAGCATTGAAGGTCCATTGTATGTGCCAATAGTATGCATGGTTTCTTGCCATCCTGATTGTTATTGGCCACAAACGCCTCATTCAGTATAAGACCAGACATCTTGAATGGATCTGAACTGGTTAAAGGGGACACACTATAGCCACACCCTATAGCCAATTATTTCTAGGCTAAATTATAGAGCATTATGCACTAAGATGTAGTGCAATAGACTTATGCAGCTTAATGGAGGCATTTTACCATTCCACACCATAAGATGACCTGCAGAATGTTTCCATCAGTAATAATGGCATGTTGACAAAGTAAGCTAATCATGAAAATATAAATGTCCACTCCACAATATTTCCACATATTTAGTATGAGTGACATTTAGGCCTACCTGTCCATCATGTCAATCGCTTATTGCTGTCTAAATAGGCGCACAGTGACATTGTTCTGATACATTGATATTTGCAACACATAATTACAAAAAAAATAACACACACTACCCACTGGGCAATAACTGGTTGAATCAACGTTGATTCCAAGTCATAAAAAAATAATATATGTGATGACGTTGAATCAACGTGGAAAACTGATTGGATTTGCAAAAATCATTAAAAAAAATTCACCACACTTTAAACCTAAAGCCAATGGCATGGTGACATATTTTGTTGATTTCACGTTGAATTCACATTAGTTGACAACTCAACCACATGTAAATCAAAAATAAGACTCTGAACTGACGTCTGTCCCAGCGGAAAATGAAAAGATTAGTGAGAGGAAACGTTATTGTATATTATGCATGACACGCGTCATGGTGCTGGATCAAAAATCAAATACATTTTTTGACATCGACATTAAAACTAATCGACAGGCAACATCATTATCGTCCACCAGACCGCAGTAATCACGATAATACCGTAATTAGCTATTGTAACCACTTAGTGGGACAAATATCAATTTCTCAATCTGCGCGCGTTTGCCAAGATCTCACACCTGAGCTGTCAAATCTCTCCTTGGCCACCGCAGCTCGCGGACTTGCCAGCCAGCCACTTACCATATTCTATCCAGGGGAAAACGGTCTGGAGAAATCAATAATATCCGCCTCCGACTCAGAAAGTTAGTTGTTACTTATGATGAAGATGAAAAAGTTTGCTTTGTCATCAGGGGGAAAAAGAGCCCGGCGCGCAGTAATCCTTATCCGACAGTCTTGGTTGCAGGCATTCTGCTAAGTGTTGGAGAGGTTCACAATTACATGCCTGTTTCTATTAACCCGCTGCGCCAAGTCTACGTGGGTGGTCCCATTCTCAATAGGCAGGACTCATGCCTGTCACGTGATTAGGCTAAAACTTTAAACACGCACACACAGTACGCACACACACGCGCGCGCACACACACACGCACACACACACACACACAGTCTTGTACAGCTAACCTTGTGGGGACACACATTTCAGTCCCATTCAAAATCCTATTTTCCCTAACCCCTAACCCTAAACCTAACCCTAACCCTAACCCGAAATCTTACCCTAACCCTAACCTTAACCTTAACCCAAAAACCTAACCCTAAAACTAACCCTAGCTCCTAACCCTAACCCTAAACCTAATTCTAACCCTAACATTAATTCTAACCTTAACTCTAAACCCCCTAGAAATAGCATTTGACCTTGTGGGGACCAACACAATGTACCCAGTTGGTCAAATTTCTGTTTGTTTACTATTATTTTGGGGACTTCTGGTCCCCACAAGAATAGTTAAGCAAGTCCACACACACACACACACACACACACACACACACACACACACACACACACACACACACACACACACACACACACACACACACACACACACACACACACACACACACACACACACACACACACACACACACACACCACACACACACACACACACACACACACACACACACACACACACACACACACACACACACACACCTTACTCCCAGCCTGTACCCCCCAACCACTCCAATGTCAATACTGGCAACATCAATAATATTATCATGATGACTATAATGGTCCATGTTCATTTTGAGGGTTGGTATTAGGCCCAGGACTGTAGGAGGTCCTGGCTACCTGACAGCTAAATTGACATTCAGTATAAGTGTCATACAACAGCCAAGATGGTGGTTATGATAGTGAAGATGGAAAGGAAACAGGGCTGGATGGCTCACAGCACCAAACCTTTTCCCTCTCATGTCAGGGTTAGAGACATCAGTTATAAATTGATACTGTTGCAACTTAAAAAGAAAAGATCACAATTAAAATCTTGATGCTTCATTTATCTAATTCACGTTAAAATCATGACGTTTCGGCTGTCATTGGCCTACATCAGAATGAGCTTCAAACCTTCACACCACCATTACCAGCACCAAGAAATGCCCAATCCCAAATTCCTATGTCCCTACACTGTTATCGTGGTATCTTTGAGGTCCTATGTAAGTGTAAGCATGCAATATGGTTAACAAATTACACCTGTATCAAAGGACAACGTGGAGCAAATAACATATTG